GCAATCAAGAAAAACCTACCCTCTAAACTAATATGTAAGTCAAATTTGCTTAACATAGAACAACTTTTTGTGGAAGTTAAACTGAATGATGATCAGCTTCTAATAGGAGGAATCTATATACCACCTAGTTCATTAGCTGAGGCATATGAATATCACTGCCCCTTTCTTGAGGAACTGATAAGTCAACATTCACAGAGTTCTGTGATCTTGGCTGGCGATTACAATCTGAGAGATGCTCAATGGGCTAATGATCAAAACGGGGTTTATTTATCTACCATACTTCCTGATGGATCTCATGCGAATACAGTTTGTGGATCTTTTGCATTTTTAAATCTCCATCAGTGCAATAATATACCAAACAGACATGGAACATTCCTGGATCTCATTTTTTCACATATACCTGATCTAAATGTGTGTACGCCGGTCGATCCATTGTTTTGTGAATCATTCAGGCATAAGCCGTATGAATTTTTTATCCCTATTGGTTATTTTAAAGAGTCAGTTTTTTATGAAGACCATGTTTATGATTTCAAAAACTGTAATTTTAATTCTGTTAACCTTTATCTATCTTCAGTTAATTGGGATGCATTATACCAATGCAATAATATAAATGAGGCTTGTCAAATATTTTACAGCTATATGTATCAGTGTTTAGATATTTTTGTTCCTATGAAGGCTGTCAAGTGTTCCTACAAGTTCCCAATTTGGTTCTCAATAAAACTTAAAGATCTTATTATTCAAAAGAAAAAAGCTCATCTAAGGTTTAAATTATCTAATTCAAATGAGGACTACTTATTGTTCTCTAATCTACGTGATCAATGTAAAGTTGAACATACACTTTGTCAGAAACAACATTTTTCATCTCTTGAAAAAAATGTTAGTAATAACCCCAGGGAATTTTGGGGATACATTGGCAGACTTCGTAAATCTTCAAGTTACCCCCAAGAAATGTATCTCAGTAACAGAAAGGCACAGGGCAATATCGAAATTGTTAACCTTTTTGCTGAATTCTTCTCTGGTGTATATGAGAAAGATAAAGGTGCTCCCATTCCAGATTTTAAAGACTGTGTCAGACACATTGACCCTGTAAACCTAATTCAAGTTAACACTATATCAGTGTTTGATGAATTAAGTAAACTTCCAAACAAATTCTCCTCAGGGCCTGATGGAGTCCCACCGGTATTATTAAAGCACTGTCTATGCTCTCTTACTATTCCCCTAAAATATCTTTATAATTTATCTCTTATGACTGGTGAGTTCCCTCCTTGCTGAAAGAACAGTTATATTGTACCCATTTTTAAGTCAGGTAAAAGAGAGGATATTGAAAAATACAGAGGAATTTGTATACAGTCAGCAATCCCAAAACTTCTCGACAAACTAGTGACTTCTCACTTATCAAAACTAACAGACAATATAGTAATACCCCAACAGCATGGCTTTCAAAGGGGGAGGAGCACAGTGTCAAACTTGTTGGTCTACCAAGATGGTATATTGGGTGCCTTTGAGAGGAAGTACCAGGTGGACAGCATCTATACTGACTTCTCAAAGGCATTCGATAAAGTAAATCATCGTTATTTAATCAGTAAATTAGGAGCCATTGGTATAGCTGGCAAATGGCTTGATTGGTATGATAGTTTTCTTGTGGGTAACACCCAGAGCATTAAGATAAATGGTGTGTTGTCTCAATCTGTTGACGTCCTCTCTGGAGTACCACAAGGGTCACATTGTGGTCCCCTACTTTTTGTCCTCTTTATTAACGACGTTGAAAAAGTCATTAAGAATTCAAAATTTCTGAACTTTGCTGATGATAAAAAAATTTATAAAGTCATTACTTGTCAGTATGATCAAATTCAGTTACAAGAGGATCTCAGCAGATTTAACGATTGGTGCAAACTAAATGAATTAAAATTGAACATTGATAAGTGTTGTGTTATTACTTTTCACAGAAAGCAAACAATTTTAAATTACGATTATAGCATTGATAACACTCAGCTGTCAAGGCAGGACTGTGTTAAGGATTTAGGTGTTTATTTTGATTGTAAATTAACATTTCGTAATCATCTAGAGGTCACAGTAAACATTGCATTTAAACAATTAGGGTTTATAACTAGAAACACTTCTCAATTTTCATGTTTTGTTTTACCAATTCTTTTTAAGAGTCTCATTCGTTCCAGACTAGAATATGCAATAGTTGTATGGGGACCTTACTATCAAACCTCTATAGACAAGCTTGATTGTGTTCAGCATAAATTTTGTAAACACTATCATTACCGTAGTGCTTTTCATGACCTTTCTGTCCCATACAGTTATAGCATGATAGCTGATCACTTAAAAATGGTTTCCATGAATCAGCGAAAAGATTGTTTTTGCCTAATATTCCTTTACAAAATTGTTAATAATTTGATAAATTGCCCTGAACTTTTAAATCGATTAGGTCTTAACACTCTTCATGGAACTAGACATACTTCATTGTTTCATCTGCCATTTCATCAATTTAATTATGAATACTTCAAGCCTCTTACTAATATGTTGAGACTATATAATAGGTACCAAAGTGATCTGGACTTATTTTTCCAGTCCTTAGAACAATTTAAAAATGTGATAAAGAGACTGCTATTTGTGAAATATTAGTTTGTATTGAAGTTAATTATTAGTTTTTGATATCAGTTTGTATTCAAGTTAATTATTAGTTTTTGTTAAACTTTATTATTATTTTCCAATGTTGTGCTTGCTTTGTAAAATTTTATATATTATATGTTATTCCAATGTAAAAATGGTATATCCGTTAATAAATAAATAATAACCTTCGATTGCAGTGTAGAAAACGGCGGAATAAAATCTTCGTATTACGAGAATTATATAGATCAAGAACCATATGATTGTTTCAAGATCTTCCTTACTGACGACATAATAAATTATATACTTGAACAAACCAACTTGTATGCACAGCAGGTTTTACAAAATTATACTACACCGTCAAATAAGAGGAAACACACAAAGAAGTGGGTTCCCACAAATACTTCTGAAATGGAAAAATTTTTTGGCATTATTATGTGGATGGGATTAGTCAAATATCCTCGAATAAAAGCATACTGGAGTAGACATTTTGTATACAAATTCGATAAAAAGTATAATATCTCGAGATCGTTTTGAAGAGCTATTAAAGATGTGGCACTTTAGCGACAATAATGACCAATCTGTAGTAAATGATCGGCTAAGAAAAATTACTCCACTTCTCGAGAAGCTAATTGAACAGTTTCAAGCAGTAATGGTGCCATGTGAAGAAGTATGCATAGATGAGACACTTGTGCCGTTTAGAGGATGCCTAAAATTTAGGCAATATATAAAGAACAAATGGCACAAGTTTGGCCTAAAACTATACAAATTATGTACTATAGGTGGGTAAACATACAATTTCAAAGTGTATTTGATGGATAATCTACTTGACTGTGGGCGTACTTTATACATCTACAACTATTACACAAGTGTGAGTCTTGCAACCAAGTTATTATACCTTATTCCATTAAGTGATGCAGGGCATATAAACAACGATAAATTTAACAGATAATTGTTAAAGATGTTCCAAATGAGTTTACTCATTCTGATAAGTAACAGTATAATTATGACACTTTATTATTTTTTTTTCTTTTCTCAAATATTCGTGTTTATTGCATATCAAATAAATTAATGTTATCACTGAATACATAGTAAGTGAAAAAATAACCCGATTTATAAAATTAATGAATATTTTATGCATAAATGCAATTAACAGTTCTTCAAAAATATTTAAAAACTAACCGAAATGTCCATCTTTATTTCGTCTGCCGACGTTTTCGGTAGCTCAAAACGGTTCGGACACGATTTAATGTTTACATCTTCCTGCATCGCTTAATGAATTTTACTATAGAAAGAAATACACACCTAGTTGGCACTGTAAGAGCTAATTGTAAACTCAATTCTCCCAAAGTGGTTAATACTAAATTAAAAAAAAATGAAATTGTTGATGAAGAAAGTTCTACTGGTATAGTAATGCTAAAGTGGAAAGACAAATGTGACGTGACAATGCTTACGACAAATGTGACGTGACGATGCTTATGACAAAACATTAAGCAGACACCACTAAAATAAAGAACAGACGCGGTGAAATAGAGAAACCAACTGCTCTCGTTAGTTACAACAGGTGCAAGAGCTACATTGATTTATCAGATCAACTCAAGTCTTACTCTCATTGCCTTAGATGAGGTAATAAGTGGTACCAAAAATTAGCAGTTGAACTGATTTTTGGATGTGCATTAGTAAATTTCTTTCTAATATATAAGGAGGTAACACAGAAAACAATTCAAATAACGGAATACAGAGAGCTGTTAGCTGCAAGGTTATTATTGGGAAAACATCGTGTGGACCACATGGAGAACGAAAAAGCAGATGATATAGAACAACTAGAAATGTCCGGCACATATCTGCCTCTCACTAGGACGGCTCTTTTTGTATTCCTGCTTAAATAGCACAGTTGCATGAACCGTTTTGTAATACATGCCGTCTAAGTGAAAGTATACCATGTGGTACACCATTTTTGCCACGCCATCCAAGGACCAAGTCGAATGTAAGACATGTATTGTCTCAGGCTGTATGCAACATATTCAAAACAGTTAAGGACAAACAGAACAGAACATTTTCTGCTACAAATTTTTGGATTTTTGTGAAAGTAGCTAATCAGCATAGTTTTTGTTTGATTCTATGATTTTAATGACAATTGAATATTGTTTGTGGAGTGTTATCACTGTCAGTGTATTGAAATAAGCATGTTCTGTTAATGGTCTCCATTAATTATTATTTCTGTTCTGGTCATTGATTAATGGTCTCCAACCAGCTGTTACTCTCAAACTAATACATAGACACATATAAAAACTGTTTGATTACCCTATAACTTGCTATAACTGTAACTTTTTACTTGGTGAAAAATGTCTTTTAAAAAACACAATTTAATGTCTTTTTTTATTATGTTATTAAGGTCAAGTTAGTATTACATGGTATAAAAGGAAAATTGCCAGTTAATAAGTTATTTAAAAAGGTTTCTAATTGAGAAGATAGAAAAAATGTTACTTCAAATATTTTATCTACTCACTTTTGTTATCTACTTGTATTGCTTCAGATGAGATAACTGTATCTTCATCTTGTCGTATTTCAGTCTTTACAGGATAGTCAAGAAATTCTAAACAATCATATTTATTATCTTTACTTTCTCCTTTGGGTTCAAATTCAGTTTTAACAATATCCAGAAAAACATCACCCATAGGATGATGGGAATCATATTTATTATCTTTACGTTCTCCTTTGGGTTCAAATTCAGTTTTAACAATATCCAGAAAAACATCACCCATGTCATTATTTTCTATTTCTGCTTTACAGGTATTCTCGTTTACTTCCATTTTTGATCAATGGAATCGCATGTATGTATATTGAATAATTTTAAGTTTATACTGTATCAGAGTATATACCACAAAGCTATTGGGCTAAGGGCTAGAGGTACGATGTACAGAGGGCTATGTACTCTGCTCTGTATAAACAAAATCACTAACAGAAACAGAGAGCATTAGTAGCCATATATTGTGGCATCACAAATTGTACTGGGAGCATTCTGTCGCATGTATTGACTTTGGCAGATTTACAAACGTGGACAGCAACCAATCTTCGGGTATTACTCCTGTAGGGTAAAAATCAAGGAAACCCGGGAAACGCTATTTTTGCAATTTTTTTGGACTTAGCCTAAAAAATGAAAAAAGGTAACCGGGGACGGTAAATACAAGTTAAATTTTGAAATATTTGTTATGTATGGCTTCCTACTCACTTTATAATGCTCTAAAAATGTCGGATTCTGTATTTTAATGCATATTTTTTCTATAATTCTCGTTTAAAAATTGCGTGTTTTGAGATCAATTTTCAAATATTTCGTCCATTATTTTGATTGTTGTTAGTTGTTGTTAATGTCATCATGTCATGTCACTTTTCCACCAATGTTGCCATATTTTAAAAAAATATTGTTTCTTGCAAAATTTTGTAAAAATATAAATATTGTAGCGTGATTAAATAAAACGAGCGGTTCGAATTTATATAAATATATTTATTTATAACTTTACAGTTCGGTATTCTCTTATCAACTCCACTAACTCCTAAGATCGTTACATATATATATATATATATATATATATATATATATATATATACATATCTTCTTCTTCTTCTTCTTTTGCCCTTTAATTCGTCCAATTTTGAACATAGGCTTCCCCCAGTTTCCTCCATTCGCTTCTGTTTTGTGCTTTCTGTTTCCAGTGTATTCCTCCTATCTTTCTAATGTCATCTCCCCATCTCATCTGGGGTCGTCCTCTTGCTCTCTTTCCTGTCCATGGTCTCCAATGTTGTATCGTGTTGTTCCACCTATTGTCTGTTTGTCTGGCGTTATGACCTGCGAAACTCCATTTTAGCCTGGCTATATGTTGACCTGCGTCTTTGACTTTTGTTTTGTTTCTTATCCAGATGTTTTGCTTCTTGGCAATAGTAACTTTGGTATATATATATATATATATATATATATATATATATATATATATATATATATATATATATATATATATACCAAAGTTACTATTTTCTAGAAAGTTCCCACCTCTAGGCGTATACGTGACCGATCGTTCTCTTGCCTTCGAGGGATCTATTCATCGATGATTCTCGATGCCGAGATGCTTCGAGATGCAACCGTTAGACGGGCCGCGCTGAATTCATTTTCGTAACACTGCTCCCCTCTTAGATCTGAGCGTCCCGATCAGCAACTCTATATGTAGGCCCAGGATGGCGGAATCTACAGGACTCTCCGGCTCTGCATGCACCCCTCAGAAAGAATAACAGTCTACTGTCTTTGAAGGACACGATCTCTTCGGATTAGTACAACACACATTAATTCTTACGCCGGTTTCTCGGAAGATCACTTCAAGCATGCTTCTGACAATCTTAAAATCCAGATTATCTAGTGCATGGCCTATCTTGGGTAAGGCCAAATTCTTAATGTCGTAATTGCAGACGATTTTCTTCAAATTAGTTAGAGCACACCATATATCCTCGTAGGTTGCCCTGTCTGTATACGACTTCCTGGTCACCATATACAGCAAAGATCGAGAACCATCTTCTAATCTCAGCACTCTTCCAACTTTAGGCTGCTGGTTTTTTAACTCGTCCAAGCGACCAAATTTTTTATAAAATACGGATGAGATTCCTTTAGTCATCTCAAGATCTTGGGCAACACAGTGGGCTAGAGAGACGTTATGCGGAACACTAAAAAGATCCTGCTGAACTTCTGTCGTCACACCGAATCTAGCATTCTTTCTCTCTGCGTAATTTGACATAAACTCCTTAAAGCTTGGTCGCCGTTTATCTTTGATCTCATGTTGAAGGGTTCGGACTTCTTCGGTTTCATTTGAGCCAGCATAAGGGGCAAGACGATTTATGTGAACTACTTTTGGTTTACCTTTCGGCAACTTCTTAATTCGGTATATTACGTCATTTATTCTCTTTTTAATTTCATACGGACCCTCCCATTGTCTTTGCAGTTTAGGAGACAAGCCACGACGACGTTGTGGATTATAAAGCCAAACAAGATCACCTACTTCATAGCTTTCATTCTTGCATCGAGAATCGTATTGATCTTTCATTCTGTCACTGGCTAACTGGATGTGTTGTCGGACAAGTTCATGAATGCTGTTCATTCTTAACTTCAGACGATCGACATAATCTTCGCTTGCAACATGTTCTTCGGAAGGTCTGCAGCCAAACTCTAGGTCGCAGGGCAAACGAACTTCACGACCTAACATCAGGCAGGTTGGAGTCTGGCCCGTAGTTTCATTCACGGCCGAGCGGTAGGCCATTAGGAATAAATGAATGTGCTGCTCCCAATCTCTTTGATGTTCTGATACAACTTTGGACAGGTGTTTACCCATCGTTCGGTTCATTGTCTCGACCATTCCATCTGATTGAGGATGAAGGGGTGTCGTTCTGGTCTTATTGACGCCAATCAATTTACAAACGTTTTGGAAAAGGTTTGACTCGAAGTTTCGCCCTTGGTCGGAGTGGATCTCCCAGGGAACACCAAATCGGCTAAAGAATTCTTTAACCAGTACCTCTGCAACGGTAGCAGCTTCTTGATTTGGTAGCGCATAGGCCTCAGTCCATTTCGTAAAATAATCCATGGCTACCAGGATATATTTATTTCCATCATTTGTCTCTGGAAGTGGACCTGCAATGTCAATTGCTACTCTTTCCATAGGACTACCAACATTGTACTGTTTCATGGGTGCCCTCTTTTTACCAACTGGACCATTACTGGTTGCACACAGTTCACATTTCCGGCACCATCTTCTTACATCATCTTTACAGTTCACCCAATAGAACCGTTCTCGAACCTTTTGCAGAGTCTTCGTAATACCAAAGTGTCCACCTGATACACCGTCATGCAACTGACGTAATACTTCTGACACTTTACTATTAGGTACAATCAACTGAAGCTTAGTTTCTGTACCATCATCGTTCTCAAAGGTTCTATACAGAAGATCATCTTTCAGCACTAGGCAATTCCATTGGCTCCAGTAACACTTAACTTCGTGACTACATGCACTAATGTCTTGCCAAGAAGGTCTTTCACTTCGACGCATCCAATCCAATACTCTTTTTATACATGGATCATCTGCTTGAGCGTCTTGTAGCTGTTGAGGCTGCCATTGATCATTAATAACGGTGGTTCGCCTCACGGGGCAAAGTCGTTCTTCTAATTTAAGACAATGATTACGATTTTCACTGTCTGGCCGTCTTGATTGAACATCAGCATTTAAATGACTTTTTCTAGCGTGCTCGATCTGTTCTAGCTTTCTGACTGTTGTATTATTTTCTTGCACTTTGTGGCGAATGTGACCTTCGTTGTTACCATTCCAACATCTGGGTTCACGTCTCTTCGGCATCATGTTACGAACTACTTTCCGTACGATTTCCTCCAGACGTTTATCGTTTCGTTCGTCACTCTCTTCAGAGGTTCGTACCTCGTGAAACTCGACTAGCTATCTCATGTTCCAAGGCAATGGCGAGCGCTTCATCTAAAACTTTCGGTCTTGCTAGTCGTAAAGCTTTCTGTAGTTCACTGTCTCTCAACCCATTGACTAAGGCATCTACAGCAATTTCTTCCAAAATGTTGTCTGGTGCCTCTGGATAGGCCAACAGCGCTATACGAGCAATATCTGCTTCAAATTCTTGCAAACTCTCACTTGCTCGTTGAATTCTACTTCTTATTTGTACTTTGTAGACTTGTTGTACTAAATGGTGGTAATTTGAATCTCATATGATGTGTCATTTCGTCTCTAGGATATTCTTCTTTCACTACCGGATCTAAAGCTACCGTATTAATTGGTGGTAGCACTTTCGTGTTAATTATCATGCTCTCTAACTGTTTGATCTTCTCTTCTACCTTATCGAATGTTTTAGAAACTTCTTCAAATTTCTCATTATTTTGATTACATACGTCTTTAATTATTTGAGAAGTCTCGTCGAATCTTCTAGATACATTTTCAAATTTCTCGTCATTTTGTCTAGCTATTTCTTTAATAATTTGAGACGTTTCATCGAATCTTTCATCATTTTTTTTACAAGTTTCTTCAATCATTTGAGACGTTTCATCGAATCTTTTGGAAACGTTCTCGCATTTATCATCAGTTTTTTTTAGAAGATTCTTCAATTTTTTTAGAAGTTTGTTCAATAATCATTTGCGACACATTTTTTATTTTCGTTAACACTGCTTCTTCTGCTGACTGGAACTGGAATGTCTCTGGGTCTTCTCCATTCTTGTTGAGAACAGTCTTCACTCGTTCTTGTAGTATCTTCTTAGACCCGCTGCAGTTTTCATCGCGTTCTTCTAGTTGTTCACGCAACTGTTTCACTGAAAGTTCTACTAGCAGCATCTTTGGTCAGGCACACACGTACTTTTTTTAAATGTTCTTTCGTACAACGATCACTACCGAACTACGCGGATGTTCCCGACGAACAATACTTTTCAAAAGTTCAAAAGTCTTTTTTTTCACTGTTGAATTTATTTTTAAATAAATCAATTGTCCTCACACGGTGACACCAACTGTAGCGTGATTTTCTAGAAAGTTCCCACCTCTAGGCGTATACGTGACCGATCGTTCTCTTGCCTTCGAGGGATCTATTCATCGATGATTCTCGATGCCGAGATGCTTCGAGATGCAACTGTTAGACGGGCCGCGCTGAATTCATTTTCGTAACAATATGTATACCTAAGCAAATTTTATTTTGTCAAAAAGAAAATATTTTGTTTTTCGTTGCGTTGAGTTAGGTTTGATCAGGTTAGGATTGATTAGGTTAGGCTTGATAAGGTTAGGCTTGATAAGGTTAGGTTGGGTTAGGTTAGATTGGGTTAGTGAGTCGAAATACACCGAGATGTTGAGCAGAGGCGTCTACTTTGACGGGCTCCGCATGAGCGTCGAGCTTCCCTTCAATTCCAACCCTGTCCCTCTCGTACCAAAATATTGTGCTCGGTGCGGTTAAAACGGGCATACCATTGCGGAGTGCCCTCAAAAACAGTACCGATGCCCTACCTGTGGTCAATACCACAAATAAACTTCCTGTCCCACTCCACAAACTCCTAAATGCCCTAACTGTGGTGGTGAGCATATGGCCTACTCGGTCAAATGCCTACACAGAAGGGAAATACCTAAAACACCCCAAGAAACCCAACCTATCACAACAGACAAAAGATACCCACCCTATGAACTGTCCTCAGACATGAAGGCAGTCATCGAATTCACCTCCTTAATCCTGATCAAGCTCCTTCCGGATAGGCGGCAGCTTATCCTGGACATCACTAACCGCATCTCTACTCTGATGTTCGGTCACAAGAGCACGCTAGTGGCCCATAACAACACAACTTCCATCTCC